GTAGACATTTATGCTCTTGGCTTGGGGTTCAGGGAGAATGTGGAAGGGATCAAATGAGTTTTTCCTCACGAAATTTTCAAGTGTGATGGGTGTGGTGATTCACATCTGTAATAGCAGCATTTAGGAGGCTGAGTATAGAGGATTATCCAGAGTTCCAAATCATCCAGCTCTACATAGTGAGTTCCAGGCCAGTCTGGACCAATGAGTGAAACCTTGTCTGAAAATTATAACAATTCAAGTTCTAAATCTTGTCACTGAAATGGGTGAAAACAGCGAAAAGATGATCACAGACAAAGTTGAAATACTTCAGGAAGCAATAGTAACCCCTGCCTCTGTACTACACAGACTTCATATAGAATTTGTAGAAAGGCTTGATGATCCCGCCCTCCCCCCAAGTGAGAATGCTAGTGAACAATGGAGGATTTAAGTGTCAACCAACAAGTATGGAAGGTTAATTGACAGGACTAATATTTAATATATGCACTTTCTACATCTTTTTCTTTGGATTTCTTGGATTTCAAGAACCAGGCATTTTTCGCAGTGGAGACCAAAGACAGAGGTCATAGTCATCTCTAGTTTTGTTTTTATCAAAGTCAAATCTCACTGAAGAACAAAGGGGAAAGAGAGAAGAGAGAGGAGAGAGGAGAGAGGTGGGAGGGAGGGAGGGAGGGAGGGAGAGAGTGAGAGAGAGAGAGAGAGAGAGAGAGAGAGAGAGAGAGTGAGAGTGAGAATTTCCAGTATAGGAAATAGGAAGTGTGTGCAGTAGGAGTCTTTCTGTGCCAGGAGAGTAGGACTGGACAGCAGCATCAAGATTAACATGTGGGCTACATGTAACAAACAGAACATCCCTGAAGAAAGTCCCTGGGATACAAATGTAAGAGAAAGTGGGCACTATGAAAATGACCTGTAAAGAGTCCTAAGTTTCATAGTCCATTGCTTTCTGAGTACACGCCTTTCCCCAACTCACTAGCCCATGCCCAGTCTTAGGTGTGCCTTTCTCTTTCTTTTTTTTTAATATATTATTTTTTATTTTATGTGTATGAGTGTTCTGCTTGCATGTAGGTAAGTGCACCTGTGCCGTGCAATGCCCATGGAGGTCAGAAGAGGGCACTGGATCCCCTGGAACTGGAGTGAGCAATGGTTGTTAGCTACCATATGGGTCCTGGGAATTGAAGCTGGGCCCTCTGAAAGAGCAGCCAGTGCTCTTACCTGCTGAGCCATCCCTCCAGACCCAGCCTTTCACTTTCTTAATAAACTGCTCTATCTCTATTACCTTACCACGTGTCCTTGGTGCATCTCTGTTTCCTGAGACATAAGAACCTGGAAACCAGCTGGCACCCTCTGAGCTCAGATCTGTGCCTGTATCATTAAGGTAGTGGGAAGATGGGCTCTACTGTGCACACAACTCTGTGAGGTCTTAAGGAAGTGGAACCCCAAACCAGGGCTCCCAGAATCAGCATATATTTCTGGTATAGATCACATACAAGCAAGAAAGTGAAGAGACCAGGGCCCATAAGGAACCATGGTGGTTGAATCAATAGTCTACAGTCTGGTGCTCCAGTTATCAGAGATGAGAACTTTAATCCTAGGTGTGGAGGTGTGTTCCAGTAATAACAGAGATGAGAATTCATATCAATTTGATAAGATAGAAATTAATTAGTTGTAAAGGAAAAGAAAAGCAGTATTTTTTGCATACTCAAGTTTATGGACTAAGATTCATACCCAGTCCACTGTTCACTATGGAATGTCCAACATGTAGGTGCTGAGAATCAAACCCTGGTTCTCTGTGAGAACAGTGAGTGCACTTAACTGCTGAGCTATCTCTCCAGCCCCAAATCAGTTCTCTCGATCTCATTTTGGGGTCATGGTCCTTGAAGAAAGGAACTTGTTTAAATGAAGAATTTCCTGGAAAGAATACACCAGGCATTTATTTTTATTTTGTGCATGTGTGTGGAACCACATGATACGGTACGTGTGGAGGTCACAGGACAACTTGAAGGAGCCAGTTCTCCACTTCCACTATGCAGGTCCTGAACATCAAACTCAGGTCCTCAGGCTTGATAGCAAGTACCTTTACCCACAGGGCCATCTCTCTGACCCCCAAGCACTTCTTTTACAATATTTTAGTTTATGTGTATGAGTGTTCTGCCTGCATGTAAGTGTACCTATGTGTGCAATATATCCACAAGGCCAGAAGAGGGCATTGGATCTCCTGGAATTGGAGTTACTGATGGCTGCTAACTGCAATGTGGGTGCTGGGAACTGAACCTGGGTCCTCTGAAGAGCAGCCGGTGCTTTTAACTGCTGAGCCATTTCTCCAGCTTCCCCCACCGCCCCCCCCATTTCTTTATTACAGTGATTATTCTTTGATATGGCTGGAAGGAATAGTGCAGAGGCCAAGATGGGTGATTTTATTTAATCACCTTTATTCTGCTGCTTAGGGCTTGAGCATTATCTGGGAGATTAAAATTTTAATCTCATTTATCATGAAAATAGATTGCTTTTCACTCTTAAAAGACAGAATTTTTGAAGTAGGTCAAGTTTTTCATTAGCAATGAGGTATACATATCTAAACTCTTATCTAGCTTTAGCAAGCTTAAACACAAACAAACCAGAATGTTTTTGTGGTATTAAGTTTAAATGTTCTCCCAGATTACCAAATGCCTCATCAGATTGAATTACACTCAGCCCTTTGTCTCTATGGATTTTTCTTCTGTGAGTTTTTGGGATTTGTTTGTGTTTTATTATTTTATTTTTGAGGGAGGGTCTCCCTGTAGTCCCAGGTGGTCTAGAACTTGCTGTGTAGACCAAACTGGCTTCGATCTCAGAGTTCCACCTGCCTCTGCCTCCCAAGTTTTGTCTTTCTTTGTCACTACTCCCTATATATTGATAATTATTTGCATAGAATCTACATTGTTTTAGGTATTATAAGTGGTCTAGAGATTATTTAAAGTACATGGGATGCTCAAGTTATGACCAAATAGTGAAGCATTATATACAGGGGACCTGAGCATCCTTGCATTTAGCTCAGTGGGGGACCTTGGAATTAATCCATCATGCATGGATTCTGAGGATCACTATATCTAATATCAATTTGGTGACTAAATTCAACATATAGTAAGTACCTACTGCATCCTAAGCCTAAGGTTTAGTGCTAGGAATACACCATCACTTAAAGACCTTGCTGTTCTTCATCCTTGTTCTGGTAGGAGAGATAGACAATAAATAAGCAGGTGTGCATATCAATTTGTGATGTGTTACAAGGAAAATAAAATGGAGTCAAGGGGATAAAGTGATAGATCAGGATGTTGTTTCACATGAGGTGACTGGGAATGGTCACTCAGCTAAAGCCAGTCCACTGTCCTATGCTTCTCCAGATGCTTCAAGCTCATTTGCACTTCAGAAGCTTCTTTCGCAAAGGTTTTCTCTACCTGGCTCTCCTTTCTCTTCCTGGCAAACACTTCTGAAGTTCTTCACTGTCCTCACCAGAGTTCTAATGGTTTGTGCACCAGACCATTTCATGCCTGTACCATGCATGGTACAGGTTTTATAAGAACTGACTATGTGTCTCTTTCACTGCTGATTCCTAAGAAGCCTGAAACGTGTAGAATAGTTTTGTAAGTAATTTCTGACTGTCTGAATGATAGTTTTGATATGCCAGAACACCCAAACACGGGAAGCCCCTTCCTGGACTTACTGAGACAATAGTGTGTTTAATCTTGTAATAGGCCGTATAAAAATTTGATGGATTTTTATATAGCAAGATTGACATCATTTGGCTTCATTCGATTATGAATGTCAATATTAACATGGGGTTACTAGCCTTTCACTTCAGAAAAGTTCATTTTTGTTGGAAAGGTGTGCTGATTAGAGTACAATTTAAAGCAAACAATCTTTATTTCTAAAAGACCAAGTCATAAATAGGCAGAATCAACCCATGCTTTTATTTTCATTGCATATAAAAATTTTATATGAAGGTATTGATGTACAGTACTATCCTCATGGGCTGTAAGAGAGGCTAAGAAACCACTAAAAGAATCATCATTTGTGATGCTCACACACAATTTATCACTCTGAAAACATGTCCAAAGAAATAAAATAATTAAAAAACTGAAATCAGTAAGGATGTATTTTATAATTATAGTGTCTCCATTGTACTGTTTAAAACAAAAGTACTCAAATTCCTTTGGGCCAGGGCTGCTAAAATCTACAGTTTGTGTCAAAAAACAAAATGAAATAATAGGAGGCTCGTTTTTTCCTAGAAAAAAGAATCTCTCTTTTCATTGATAAGTCACACATTTCAAGGGCTGGGCAGGAGTGGGAAGTGGTGTCCACGTTTTCCACTAGGAATCTCTCATGGCTTTCAGGAGGCAGCCACTGCACAAGGTCACAGTGAGTCATTTGCCATGGACATACATTTTTCAGGAACAGTTTTAGAAAGAAGTGACTTCTTCATACTGTGTGCATTAGCATCATATGTAACTTTGTGTTTAGACGATTTACATATAAATATGTATATATGTGTACATGTATTACACATATGAATTTGGTTGATCTTGGAGAGAAATATTAGTACTAAAAATTATCTAATTTCTTAGAACATCAAGGAGGTGGTTAAACAGAGGACTAATGAAGATGAGTGACCTAAGGCTCCAGTTCATGGGCTCATCTTCCCATGAGAGCTAGAAACCACAAAACCTTTCTACAATCACTGAAGAAGAATATTTTCCTAGTATGTGTTTGGAAACAAAAGAAATCAATTGTATAGGCCTAGGTGACGTGGTGGCTCCTGATACAGAGCCAGCAAAATTCACCGTGCCTGCAACATTGCTCCATGGCAAGAAGTACTTAACAGCTTGTATCTCAAAAAGGTCACAAGGTCCTCCAGCCGTGATCTGTGATCAAATCCAGCTACTGCCAGAAATCCAATCAGTGTAAAGTTTCAATATAAAATGCCCAGCCCTAACTCTACCATTACCAACTTTGAAATGCAGCAAAATAGAAGAAAATATTGGTTATAGTTAAGGCACAGCCCTGGGACCAAAGACCTGCAGCTATGTTATTTAAATTTATATATCTTTATGTATTTTATATTTTTCTTGAATCTTCCATAAACAAGCTCTACGGTGACAAGACTATATTACAGAAGAAAAGAAAAATGTACAAGGAGTATGTATACACACCATTCATTCTCCCACCAAGAGTTTCCAAATGCATCAACACCATCCCATCATGGGATGATGTCTTATTAAGAACTGATAATTTACAATTAACATTACAGTATGTACATTGCAATAAATACATGGTTGTAAACAGACAAACAAGACTGTATTACAGGTAAGGTCATTTGGTGAGAAAAATGCATGGCACAAAAAATAAATAATGCATTCAAAATTATCATAAAGCTTTCTGTAAAATCCATTTCATTCAAGTTTTTTCTTTCCTTATATGCAATTTGTTCTATCTACACTATTTGCTTGTGACTTGTAAGTGATGTAAAAGAAAGCAAATTAAAACAGCATTATTGTGTTTAGTAACTTGCAAGCTGAAATGTACTGGTTTTAGGCAAACTTGAATTTCTGGTTTTCCCCGTGTGGTATCCAGATATTGCATTTTCTTATGGCATTTTAAGAAATATAAAGCCACTTATATGAAGATGTTCTTTTTAAAACAGTGTGTATTTGTGAAGACACTTTGGCGAAACAGAACAGGGGCCAGGGAGGGAGGGAGGGAGGGGAAGAGGGAGAGAGAGAGAAAAACAAGAAGAGAGGAGGAGGGGAAGGGTGAAAGGGAGGAGGAGAGAGGGCAAGGGGACAGCTTAGTAGGTATAGTGCATTAGTCCCTAACTCTTGGATATTACGCCTCCTCCAGAGTTCGATTGTCCAGTGGGTATCTTTACAACACAGAATCATTAGAAACCAACATGCTGGGAAAAAAGGCTCCATTAGTGCAGTTACAAACCTTTGCAGGTGTGAATTTGTTAATGACATATTGCTGTTTTTAAATTTCTTTTTATTATGAAGATTCCAGGCACTCTGTGAGGGAAATACCAAGTGTAGGGAAGAAAGCGAAATGATTTGGTGAGAAGAATAAACTTAGACCCTTGGCCTTTCCCTTTGGACCTCTTTCAGGGATAAATAAAATTAAAAGAGAAACAGGCTCCCAAACACAAAATGTTTTGGTGGAAACCACCCATCACACAGGCCTGTGCTTGAAAGATTAGTCTGCTTGATCTTTACAAGGAAAAGAGCGTGGAACTCTGATAATCAGATGGTTCTTATTCTGCCCTATGTAGAAGATCAGAAACAATTTTTCCACCAAAGGCTCTGAGCATCAGCTGCATTTCAGATGAGACAGGGACTGTATGTTCAGCTCGAGTCATTTCTTTGGCTGATGGTTTACTTGCTTAGTTATAGCTCCAACTTCTTGAGAAGTTCTAAATACACATATTTCAGACTTGTGATTTTTCTTACACATCTTCCATTTGATCATATACCTCTTTAGTCCCTATATCTCAATCCTTGGGTGCCAATGAGAAAAATGATTGTGTGGGCTCCAAACTCTAGAGAATGCAACTCCTTTATTTACATTTGATGTGGGGAGAAAGTCCACCATAAAGATATGCTTCATGAGGCCAACTGTGATCAGCAAGTAAACACTGGGAATTAATCCACAAAATTCCAATAGAGTTTTTGGTACTGAAATCAGGAGTGATCTCTTAATGTCATATTTAGGCAGAATATTTGCCAGTACAGTATTGTATCCCTTAACCAACCCCCTAGTGCCAGCAGCATTAACTCTGGTTCAGTGTGTTTAAAGTATTCCCTCCTATAGGACATGCTTATGGAGCAGGGGTACAATTCCTACATGTTACGTGGTTATCCATTAAGAAAGAGTAGCTGCTACACTCAAAGCTACTTCTGAGGGATATTTTTCATGGAGTTCTTACTCCTATGGTGAGCTCACAGAAACAGAAAGAACAGCTGTCCTGGTATTTGTTAATATATTCTAAGATCCTTAAAAACGGCCTGCACAGCACGCTAAAATTTTTCCTCTGCAATCCCAGAGTAAAAGCTAGCCATGACATACAACCCTATGCTAGAAATGAATGTCAACCCTGACTACCTGCTTCCTTTCATCAGTCAGAATGGTAGTGACACACTTGATGAGACCCCATCTAGAACACACGAACAGAGGCTGGTGCACAGAGAATAGAGCAGTACAAGGGGAAAGTGTTTTGGTTACTATAACTGGCTGTGAAAAAACGATAGAGGGAGCATGAAATGTGTGGCCATTACAAGGACTCTAACTTGTGAAATGGATGTCTTTCGACATGGCAAAAAGTCATCAGAAGACGCCAGGTAGGAAAATGTCTAAAAAAGACTGACCATTTTAGCTACTAGGTATTTATAGATCTCTCATTTGCTTCAGACAACACCAACTGATGACTGAGTGTCTACGAGGCTTCAGACATATTTGACATAATGCACAGTGAAGCATTACAGAACAAATACTCACTTTGTACATCATGAAGAAAAACACTGACGGAGAGCAACTCTCCTGGTGAGGGAAGAAGTGAAATCCAAAGCAAAGTCAACGAACACTTACAAAAAGGGTTTCCAGCAACATAAAGTTGTCTTTCCTGTTTGAAAACACGGAAGTCATTGGTATATATAAAACAATGAATCACTACAAATCAGTTAATTGCTATGAACTATAAGGTGCAAGTAAAATTTGTAAATTAGATTTATCCAGTGTAGCACAGATTTGTACTGAAAACTTGCAAGTTACTCCTTAGAAAAAAATAACCAGTGGCAGATGAAGTTCTGAACAGAGTTTTTTTTTTTTTAAATATAATACCTCAATACATTTAATAATAAAAGTAAGCTCTACAAAAAATCTGTTTTACATATCATACAAAATGTAGAGGTGAGTGCAGCTCAGTGAGCCACACTATTCAGTCATGTATCAGGAAGACTTGAAATTAGAAAATTATACAATATCCGTGGCTCATCCTTCTCCTAGGAACAGACACATTCATGACATTTTTGTTGCTTCATCTAGTAAGCTCATTCCATCTGTGAAATGCCTTTTTTCTTCTTAAAATGTTACAAACAAACCAGCAAGGAATCTCCAATCCACTGTACTTCTGGACAGCCTGATGAGCCACGCTCTCTTGAAAACATTTTGGAGTTGATTTTATCTGCTCTGTCAGCTCTACCAAGCTGAAATCATGTTAAAATCATGTTCATGAAAATGTCCCCCTTGCTCTGATGACATGGAGGTGAAAAAACGGGTTACGATATTCCTGAGCGCCAGACTGAGTAGTTCAAGGTCAATTTTGTTCAACAAACGTCCTGGCAGATGATAGTGAGGTGTGACCATGGTTGTGGCATGTGACATGCACTTTGGAAACAATATTTCTACTTAAAAAAAAAAAAAAGCGTGACAGTCTTTACACTGTTACGTGTCAGGACAACAATCATCTATGACACAAGTTTCGGGCTGGCTTTCTTCTTCTTCCCCCACGGCCTCCTCTTCAACCTGTTCATCAAGGGGAATTTCTGTGGACTCCGAGTCTTGAGTGCACAGAGTCTTGGAGTCACTGCAGCTAGTGTCTTCCTCCACTTGACTTCCACTGTCCTTTTCGGTGTCTGACTCTCCATCTTCCTCTAAAGTTAGTTCAAACTGGAATTTCTCAGTTTGGCCCTGCCGGCCCTCTTCTTGGTCATCAGGTGCAGGAGAGGGGCTTTGAGGGATTGTGCTCTGGTACCACTCACGATTGTCCTCCAAAGTGTCTAAAATGTCCTGGGCATCAGGATGTACGAGGTCTGCCCATGTCTCCCAGAGTGGATGGACGATATAGTCTATGAAGCCCACCTGGTCATAAGAGAAAAGAAACCCAGTGGGACTAAAGAACATGGAAAAGGTTAACTCAGAACCTGGACAGAAACCCAGTGACTAGGAAACACGGAAAAAGTTAACTAGATGACAGCCTCCACACAGAATCTGGATAGAAGAGTACCAATCTAATTTGGCAAATTAGTCACTATTTAAGCAAACAAATTGCTGCTACTAGCTGACCAAAGTTAACTTCTAGAACTCTTAGTTCAAGAGTATGCTTATAATATTTAGAAAATTTCTAGTTATTTGTAGTAGGGCCTGGGGTGTGGACCTTATTTGAGAATAGCCAATTTGCATGAGAATCCAGATAAAAGAAATAAGCCAAACAGTCTATGTATAAAGTATAGTAGGTGAATACAGTCATGATGAATACAATGCCATAAAGAGGTATGTGCGGCCATATGACTGTAAATCCTAACACAGAACATGTTTTGAATCAACAAAGGTGAAATTCACCTTGTCAAATCCAAAGTTATTTGTAAAAACCTCATTAAATACTGGGGGAGATGAGCACTGTGCTGGATAGCTTTAGTGTCAACTTGACTCACCTGGGTGGAGGGAGCCTCAATTGGGGAATTGCCTTCATTGGACTGGCCTGTGGCCATCTCTGTGGGGCATCTTCTTGATTGTTGAGTGATGTGGGAGGTCCCAGCCCACTGTGGGAAAGTGGGCCTGTGTTGGATAAGAAAGCAGGCTGAGCAAGGGCCAGGAGAGCAAACCAGTAAGCAGCACTCCTCCATGGCCTGTGCTCCAGCTTCTGCCTCCAGGTTCCTGCCCTGAGTTCCTACCTTGGGTTTCCCGATGAACTGTGACCTGGGAGATGTAAGCCGAATAAACCCTTTCCTCCCCAAGTTGGTAGTGGTCAGAGTGTTTTGTCACAGCAATGAAGAAACAAACTAGGGCAAGCACTGAGCAGGCAGATGCTACAGCTGAAGTCCTGCCCTCTCTCAGAGCTCTCGCCTTCATTACCTGTGATTTTTCCACAGATGCATTGTGCTTGTCACACATGGGACTGATCTCCATGCCGCGCTCCCGCTCCCTATCTCCCTGGCGGAAGAACTCCTCCATTATCCGGTCTGTCCACTGGCGGTACAGCTGGAGAGGCTTGGTTGGGTTGCTCAGATCTGCACAGTGCACCATATTCTGAAGGACCTAAAATGGATCGAGGCATTCTTTGTTCAGTATCTGCTCTGCTTTTAGAAAAAAATTTAACTAGCAATTCAAATCAGATGACTGTGACACTTAAAAAAATACATGTAGTGTAAGATTTATTTCAAACAACTCAACATGATGTGCTTATGTGTGGTTCACACTTGTATTAATAGTCCCAAATTATGGCACTTCTACAGCATTTAAGTGTCATGAGAGAAACTGTTTATGTGCATGGATGAATAAATTCAGAGCTGTTCAAATGGTTATTTGGATGTTAGTGTTTTTTATGTATAGTAGAAGAAACATTAAACATTAGGGTTTTTTTTTTTTAATCAAACCCTATAAAACTTTTGGTTTATGATGAAGAACTCTAATCTTTTTAATGTGTCTCCCCTCCCATCAGATATCCTAAGCCTTTTGTTTACAAAAAGGCCCTGATGCATTCTGGAAATCTGATGGCCCAGCGTGAAGCCCCTCCCCTCTTTGGCCAACCCTCTTCTCCCTTCCTTTGCATTGATTCTTATAAAAAGTCAACAGTAGAAAACTGTGAGGTAGGTCCCTAGTCAACGGGAAGACACAGTCCTCTCCAGTTAGGGATAAAACCTATCAATTACCAGATTTGGTAGCACATGCCTTTAATCCCAGCTGTGTCAGGCAGAGTTCTGTGAGATCAAGGCTAGCCTGGTCTACATAGTGAGTGCCAGGCCAGCTGGGGCTATGAGGAGTCTCAAAAACAAACAAGCAAGCAAAAACATAATAGACTTCCTGCTGTGGTGTGATTGCTTGTTCTGAATGACAAAACAAGACACCCTTTTGCAATACTAAAAGCTTCTTTGCTGAGTTACTTTTGCTAAATAATTGGCTGGATTATTAGACCTGAGATTTTATTTCTAACAATATAATACATACATGAAAAGTCCCGTAAGAATAAGAATGTGGATGAAAATCCACATATAATCTCTAAATGTGTAAGATGGGAAAAGGAGACTACGTCTTATTTCTTTTCCCACACAGACACGTAGGCATATATATACATATACAGCCACATACAGAACAAACTCAAATGATTTACCTGAATCCTATCAGAATAATTATCAAGAAGGAGAACTCCAGAGCTTGTTACTTTCTTAGTTTCAACCATAGTTTTCAAATCAGCCAGTAGATTCATGTGTTTCGACATGTCTGTTGCAAGAACCTTAAAGGACAAAGAATATTTCATTAAGTAAAGTCCAGAGCAAAAAGTGAGAATTTGAAAATGAAAAGAGAAATTATTTTTAGAGTTAAAAAGGAATAGAAAAACACTATGACTTCTAATGGCAGTGTCTAGAAATATTTTTGTCTTGGGGCAGTCTCTCTTCCTCTTTATGAATGAGTTTTCTGGAAGACCAAGAAAACATATGCAATACACAGAAATACTAGAACTACTAAGTACTTGACCACCACTTGCACGGTGAGAAGACAAAAGCTAAAACACCACCATACATTCTGAGGACACTTTTATTCCTTGGATACAAAGCCATTTCTCGACTGCACTGAGGTGATTCAAGGCCACTCAAAGATCACTTTGGAAACAAAGTATTTTTGTTAGTTTTGTACTGATCCAGACAGATCACTTTTCCCTGTGTATGAGCAAAGTTGAAAAGTGTAATTCTGGGGCTGGTGAGTTGGCTCAGGGGCTGGAAAGGTGCTTACTGCCAGGCCTGATAACCTGAGTTTGATCTCTGGAACCCACATGGTGGAAAGAGAGAACTGACTCCCATAAGTTGTTCTCTGACCTCCACATGCTCACTATGGCAGAGGCAAATCCCCCACCCCAGTTAGCTATAAGTAAATAAATAAATAACTGTAATTAACAGTTTTTAAAGCATAATTTTATAATAGCCAGAGGTTTTTCCCCAACTATCAGAATAATTCTGAATAGTGAATATAGAGAAAAGAGTAAAGTTAGGGATGATCCTAACTAGAGAGAGAAGGTAAAAAACTCTACTGGAGTGTGGTGGATGCTGCCTGTGTTCGGTGAGTCATCTTTGTCTGCCTGCCACTGGCCAAGGGAGCTCAGAGAACAAAACCCAAATAATGAAGATGAACTAGCATTTTTCTTAAATCAGAACTGCTAAAAACAGACTCTATTACAGACCATCCCTGGCAGCAGCAGAGGCAGCTTCTAGAACACAAAGGGCAACGACAGGTTTGGAAATACACTTTTAAAAAAAACTGGTATTTATCTTATTCTTACTTTTCTAAATAAGAGTTTGAAAAACTTGAATCATAGTTTTATCTGTTACTTACAATGTCAATGACCATTTTCCTTAAAGATTGTCTTTGCTTTTTGGTCAGATTCTGGAAAATGTCACAGTTTTCTTCCTGGAGCAACTTAAAACCCACAGCCAAATGATGGTTCTCTAAGACAGAAGAGTCATTGTACATCAAGGCAAGTTCAGAATCTGAAAGGAAAAGAGGCAGAAGGTCACCAAAGCTTTTTAATTAGGTGTGTGTCTCACTCTATGCAATTTTCCCCCAACGTCTCTGCTGCCATTCCTAATATTCAAGGACAAACATATCAGCCAACATAACTGCCAACGGAACACTGGAATCTTAGTGAACTCCGGTGTGACTGACACCAGTCTATGGGTCTCTGCTTCTTCTCTTTTGAAGTGAAAGAAGTGAACCAGACTATCTTTTACCCCTTCTCAGGATCTGCTATCATCTCACTAGACTATGGCATTATTCTTAACATATGCAACAGGTCCAGAGCATAAGGTGTCATTTCCTGATAACCATGGAATATATGCCCTTATATAATGTGCAGATCACAGGGCAAGACTGTCTATAGTCAGAGCAGGTACCAGGGAAGTATTAGATTTGTTCATGTTGCTCATCTTTCTTATTCATTTTTACCCCCGTTTTCTTTTCTAAGAGTCCTGGCAGTACTCTATAAATGTAAAATGCCTCTTGTCCACCTGCTCATGGCTTCACTGAGATGCTGTGTACAATTGTCTACATGCCCCATAATGGAGATTTTGGAATTCTTCTTATTGCTTTATGTATTAAAGGCAAGAAGACAGTCTCGTAACAGCCCTAGACTGTGAAGGTTGTCCCCCCCCGCACCCTGCCAAGGCACTTAAGTCACTCTAAAAATTTAAAGGATACACATTTGATCTTTTTTAATCACTAATGCTCGGGATATATTAAGAGGCTTTCTCTAAGGCAGAAATGCCGGCACTAATCATTGACTGCTTTGAAGGAGCTTGGGTGGGCAGGGGCGCTTGTGACATAGCTCACCCAGGAGACCCTATGATTTTATCAGAATTATACATGTGCGAAAGGGCACATCAATTCTTTGTTCTCAACTCCAGAAACAGAGATGTATGGAGTTCCAGGGAGTACACGTTTAGGCATTATTGGTCAGTTTTATTTCTTCTGGAAAAACCAGCACTGGATAAGTCATATAAATATATACATATGTATGTGTGTGTATATACATACATATATTTCATGTTGGGGATCAAAGCTTTACTTTTAAATAGTCTGTGAAAGCTTATAGTTAAACATGTAGAAATCAGAAATTTCGGTAACAATACAGGATCTGAACACATGATATTATTTTATTTCCATAGTCAAGTCATATTAAATAAGCAGATACTGAAGGGAAGGCATAATGTTTTATAACTTAGAGATATAACAATGAGTTAATCTCCTAGGGTCCTTTTACAGGAGTAAATACATGTGCAGATAAGGGGTATTAACATAAGATTCACTTGGTCTGACAAAACACTATGCCCCTGGAAGAAAGAAGAACAAAGCAGGCGGGTTGGAGGCTGCAGTTTCCAGGAGGGAGATTTACACTGCATTCTACTGGCCTGTGGTGCAGGGCAGATGCCCAAGGACACTGGCTAAGGCTGCTTTGGAAAGCAGTTACCTGATGACATTTAGGAAGATCAGAACTGGTCAGGAAGGTTAGGAAATGATTCTTTAGTGGATGGGGGGAGGGAGTGAGGTACTCTACAGCCTCCTCAGTCTCTGAACTCTGTCGCAGGAACACTGACACCTGGCAGTAAATGCTGAGTTTTAAATGAACAAATACTAGCATTTAAGAAATTGGACAAGAGGATATTCTATGCTTTTCACTGAAGGTGTGTGGCTACATGCAAGAGAGAAGGCATTGTGTTCAGGAAAGATGTTCACCTACCACTTCAGCACTTCTAAGTAGTTCTTGAAGACTTGGGTACAATGTACATACAGTACAGGGGCAGAGAGGATAGCTGACCTGCCTCTGTTGAAACCCTTTCATCTTCAAGCTAGGTATGAGCCCCCTCTTCCAAGAAGTCTTTTTTGATTGCCCCAGGTACAACTGCTCACTTCCTCCTCTCAGTGCCTACCCTACCCTGTGCTGTACACTGAACATTATCACATGACCTTTTCTGCCCTAATCTCTGAACAAAGCTGACTCTCCTAACCTACTTAAGAGACTCGAGACTGTAAATAAAATGAAAGATTTTTAGTTAACTATACTGGTTATCTGGTTTCTCCCAGGTACTTCACTTCCTCCTAACTTAGAAACAAAAAGAAGAGAATATTCTAAGATACCATATTTTAGAGGCTTCAGCTGCCATGAATTGTCAGCGGTTCGTGGGTGTATCCTATCTAATGCTCACAAGATCTCATGGGAAGATCTTAATGTGATAGCCATTCACAAATGAAGAAAATGAGCCTTAGGGAAGGTAAGTTTGCCAGTGTCATCTAGGTGGTACACACTAGGGCCAATACTTGAAGGAAAGCTGTCTGTTTCTAGAGCCCTCACATTATACTTTTATTACGATGATTTAAAAATAGAGATAACAGCCGGGCGTGGTGCACGCCTTTAATCCCAGCACTTGGGAAGCAGAGGCAGGTGGATCTTTGTGAGTTCGAGGCGAGCCTGGCCTACATAGTGAGTTCCAGGACAGCTGGGGCTACAAGGAGACCCTGTCTCAAGAAAGACACAAAAAAAAGAGACAACAGTGACTCCATCAAGTCCTGAGCTTTTCTTTGTGGGGGAGACTTTTTTTTCACTGCTTCAATCTCATTGCTAATTATGGATCTGTTTAAGTTGTTTTCATCTTCTTAATTCTAATTTTGATGATTTCAGGGCCTTGCTCCCAAATCCTAAAGTTCCATGCCATGAATCACCTACGGAAACTCTCTCATAGCTCCAGACAACATCCCTATCTGCCAATGGCATGCAAAGCACCACTGGACAGACCCATTGCATCGCAGAGCCCCTTGCACAGCAGTCCGGCTCGGGAAGAGATTTCTTTCATTCTGGGCTATTGAAAAACCCAGCAGCAGCTTTTCACTCCATTCAGTAATGGGCCAGAGTAACACCCCAATGAAAAGACTCCACTGCTTCTAAAACCACTCAGGCCCAGGAGGCATTGTGCCTCCTCCTAGGTAACCTCTTGCCTTTCATTTTAGAAGGGATGGCCCAAATGCCCACATGTTGGGCCCTTTGAAAATTTGATAAGGTAGAAAGTCTGTGAATTTTCACTAGATTCCTTTCCCAGTCAAGATTTTCACTTTAACAGTTGTCTTGGAAATTTTAGAGCTCACTATATTTCAGTCAGTCCCCCAACTGCAGGAGAGAAGGCTCTATCTCCTGACACACTCAGAAACATAAGCTGTTTATGTGTGCTTGATTGGGTAGTTCCAAACCCTGAGCTCATCATTCCCAATCAACACTGGGTCCAGTGACATTGGAAGTGAACAAGCAATGTCATCATATTCCTGAGGTTTCTAAAAAAAAGGTTGAAATGATACAGTCACTCAGCTTCTTGTTTCTTATCCATGGTTGATGAGAAGTACCCCAGGCATTTATCTTGGCTATTTCTAGGAATAATTCAAAATATGGACTATTGGTATTCACTGTACTACTAGAAATAGAGTCATCAGTGTCTTCAATGAATCTAAGAGATTAGGTAGCCAATATCAGAAATCCTAGAACCAATTCAGAAAGCTCATCTTTAAAATTCCATTCCTCCCAAACCAGTCTTACATCCAAAATCTGTGTGAGTTATGCTTCTCCACTGAGGCATAGCCAGGACAGATAGATACATAAATTCTGATATATACACTCTTATATGTTTGCTGTAGGAATTGGCTCATGCTTGTGAAAGCCATAAAAACTTGAGATCTGGAGTGTTACAAGCTGGAGAGCCAAGCAAGCCAGTGGCAATGCAGTCCTAGTCAGAAGGCCTTAGGAAAGGAATGACCAGGAGAGAGGAAGTTAATGTAAATTCCATTCATATCTGAAGTTCCTAGAACCAGTGACATGGGTATCTGAGAGGAGAAGATGGATATGGATGTCTCAGCTCAAATGAGGAAGCTCTTTACCCTTCCTTACCTCTGTACTCTTCTATTGGTCCCTTATTAGCTGGGTGATGACATCTATTCACATTGGTGAGGATGATCTTTACTCAGTCTACTAATTCAAATGCTAATCTCATAAAAATAAGCCCATCTAAACTCAAGACTTTCCAGCTTTCTAGCCACCCCATAACCTAGTGAGGCTGACATATGAAACTAACCCTCACATCTTCTTGGACTCGACTTTCCTAGGTAGCAAAGACTTGCTTTCTGCCGCTTTGATAAGACTGTGGTCCTTATACACTGAGGGCAAGTACTAAGTACATTAAGGAGTTCTTATTGACTGTGCTGCAGTTTAGGTTTAAAAGAACTTCATGTTAAAGTGCTTTTTTTTAATAGTCAAAGAATAAAATAATGGGGAAGAAATGTGATGCTCTAAAAAGAGCTCTATAAAAAAGAAATTCAGCCAAGCGTGGTGGTGCACGCCTTTAATCCCAGCACTCGGGAGGCTGAGGCAGGCAGATCTCTGTGAGTTCAAGGCCAGCCTGGTCTACATAGTGAGTTCCAGGACAGCTGGGGCTACAGAGAGACCCTGTCTCAAAAAGACCAAAAAAATTCAAATTATTTTGCCAGTTAAACTTAAAATTTTTAAAAACCAAGAACTGGCAAGGGTGTCGGGGAAAGGACATGCTGTTGGTAAAAAGGTAAGCGGGGATACGCTTTCTAGTGAACCAATGAAGGAATGCATATAAAATGTAAAATAAGAAAATTAAGATTACACAGGTTCAAAACAATGCAAGCAAAAGAAAGTGGACAACCTAGTATCTACTCATCGATGTCAAGGCAATTCAGCTCTTTTTTTGGGGGGAACATGTCCATTCTAGGTTTCTGAGTAGACAAAAGACCAAGAGAAAACACCAACACTGTGAGTTTTATATATCCAAAGTCCCGTGTTTGTACAGTTGCCTAGGGAGATGTCTGAAAAACCTGGTGAGATTGTCTCAGGGGAGGAATTTCAGGTGAGTTTTAATCCCTTCATCATTTTCCACACTGTTTCTGTTCTACCTTACAATAAAAACATTGCTTTTGCAAAAGCTTAACT